ACACAATTAGAACACAGGTAAACACAATAATGAGAGATGGGGCTCAAATTAGGAAATAATGCATTTTACCAAACACTTTGTGCTCATATAGTATGTAGTAACTCTCCCATATAGGAAGTCATGAGATCGAGCCTGGCGGTGTTGACTCTTTGTTCTTCAACAAGAAAGTATAGATGAACAGATAGTACAATTTAATAGCTTTCATAAAAAAGGAAATAATACAGTCTAGATCCTTAACAACTTAAGGGATTATGGGAGAACAAACAACCAAGGAAACATACGGGAAATACACATAAGAATCCGAACCTAAAGTCACTTTCATGAGCAAATAAACAATGATTAGAAAAAGGAATTATCTCACTCTTGTTATGTATCAATTCCTAGTTCTAGAAGCACAAAAGCATCACGTTACGTATCAATTCCTAGATCTAGAAGCACAAAAGCATCAAATTAAAATCTTCAATTTCCCCCCATTCTCATAGGAAGAAATCGAGTTTGAGTAAGGGGTGGTTTGAGTTCTTCACCCAACTCTCGTTGAGGTAAAGAACTCTCCAAAAGCAAGCTAATAAATGCTAGGTACCAAATATTAACAAGATTCAAATATAAAACCTTATCGCAAACATATGAACCCTAGGTTAGAGTTTTTTCCCTATATGCGATAATCACATATTTAGCATATAGGTTGACAATATTACCCTAATCCGAGCCCATAAACGAATTACTCATACTTCACAAACATAAATAACGAAATAGCATAAATAAATATCATGAACATTGCACAAGTGAATAAAAGAAGAGTGAGAAAGTTTCTCTATTAAAAATGTGAAATTCGTGGTTGAATCTCATTCCAATCCGTAATTATAGGCTTGATAGATCAGTTAGATTAGAGATGTAATATTAGACTAATCTAAACTAAGGAAATGAAGGAAAATAAGCTAAAGCTATCTAGGTTCAAACTCCCCTCAAAAGATTAAAAAAGAAGGCTTAAATATGAAACAAGGTGCAGAGGGACGCCCTAAGGGACGGGTTTCCAAGAGGCAATACCAACATTTCAAGAGAGAAAACGTGTACATGGACTGCTCGAGAGACGGGCATCCAAAGGGGGATCCCATCCAAGTATTTACGGGCCGTTTGATTCACGGAATGAATTTGGAGGGAATAGGAATGCTATTTCATAGGGAATAGAATATTAATTGTATTCTATTGTTTGGTTCGCTAAAGGAATAGACATTGAGAACTGTATTCCAATGTTTGGTTGGTTAAGGAATAGGAATAGAATATATGTTTAAAAGACATAAATGCCTTTATACAAAAAAAAAATATATATATATATGTAAACATATATACTCCTGCGGCGCGGAGGGTTCCGCAGCCGCAGCAGTGTGTGTGTGTATATATATATATATATAATTAAATGTTTAAATATTTAATTTGTAAAGAATAAAATTTTGAAAATTTACCTTTGTTTGATGTTTTAATTTGATGTGGTAGAAAGAAATGCTTGACTTTGATGTTGATGATGCTTTAATTTGATGTGGCAGAAAGAATTGTTTGACTTTGATGTTGATGATGAAGGAATTGGGGAAGGGTAGAATGATACGTAGGGAGAGAACGACGAGAAAGATAAGGTTAAAATTGAAAAAAAAAATATTCTATTCCTGAGGATTCAGGAATAAGTTAATACCAGGGGGACCTAATAATAGCTATTACCTCATCTGAGGTAATATGCTATTACTAGGAACATTATTCCTGGTAATAGACATTGTTACCAAACAAAAAAATAGGCCTGTTACTGGGAATGCTATGCCATTCCCAGCCTATTCTGTGAACCAAACGGGCGGTTACAGAATGCACTGAAACTCCACTTTCTAGGCTAGAGGTGGACACCCTCTTGGATGGGCGTCCAAGAGGCAGTCCATCTCTGTTCGGCAAACTCCAAAATGCTTCTTGATTCTCTTCGGTTGATTCCTTGGCTCAAGTATTGATTAAAATTGTCCAAAATTCTTCAATTTCTCACTTGGTATGATTAATTGTACCTTGAAATAAAATCAACACAAATGAGTCATAATTCACACATGTTTTAAAGCAATTTCACAAATAAAATAGATTAAAAAATATAAACAAAAATACACTTATCAACCAACAATTACTACCAGTATGTACACACACACATACACGCATTTTTTTGCTCCTATGTAATGTGCAACGAGTTCGACTGAAAGAGGTTAAAAAGAATCAAATTTGTGACATTTTAATACGATAATCATGCTCTACACATTCTTCGTTCTATCCCTTTCAAGACAATATTCCTCTTTAATTTATTCAACTATATTTTGCTAGTTGAGTGGATTGAAATAAATTTAACCGGCTTGGCAGCTTACATGCCAAAAAAGTTTGGTGCAAATAAAAAAATAAACATTTTAATGTAAATTAAACTATAATTCTTTTATTTATAAAATCATGAGCTTTTCATCACCTAGAAAAATATTTTAATGGTAGAAATATTTCTAAAAATCTAAGGCCAATACATAAATACAAATGACTTGGTATTTCTATTATTGTATTATATACTGTTGTACCAAATATTATACATACATACATGCATAACAAGAGCAACTATTGGCTCATTCATTAGCTAAGATATTTCTAGAAAGTAAAAAAAGAATCGGATTTAATTGATGAAAAAATGGGAGTTGGTTGAATATATTATTTTTGGAAATAATTCAATCTTTTTTTTGTTTTGTTTTGTTTTTGTTTTTATTGAAACCTACATAGAAATATAATTAAGACAACATAAATAACCATGCATTGGAGCGTGCGTGTGGTTAGAATTTCTCAACCTCCATAATCACCTTTCATCCCGGCCTCCAATAAGATACCCCACCATGCAGGGTTCGTTATATCGTGGACTGCGGTCAAAACAGTGTCGTTTCTTTAAGTAAAGAAACGGTGCGTCGTTAATGTTAACGAAGCGCACGTTTTTTTTGTATGTTAATTACCGACTGATATTACAGTTTATTTAAATCGACACGCCTCACATGTTATTTTTATATTATCAAATGAAACTGCATTTATATCAAAATGATACTGTAGTTGTGGTGAAATGAAACTGCAGTGTATGTAAAATGAAACTGAATAACATTTCACATATTTGATTGTATATTGTACAATGAAGCTGTAATTATATCAAAATGATCATATAGTTGTGTTTTAATAAAACTATAATGTATAAAATAAAATTAAATAACATTTTCACATATTTGAGTCTATAAATATCGAATGAAACTGTAGTTATATCAAAATGAAACTGTAGTTGTGTTGAACTGAAACTGCAGTGTGTACAAAATGAAACTGAATAGCTAAGTTACTTTTTGCAAAAGGGTGCGTAACAGCGCGAAACGAATGCCATTTCTTTTCATTAAACAAAACGACGTCGTTTTGATGTGCGGTGCATAATCGATTATGCACTGCGGTGCATGATATAATTTGTCACCATGCAGATACGTAGTGCATGACCAATATAATAAAGTCATTTTCACTACATGCAAGAAAATAAAGCCACGCAACGAGACGGGCTACGAAGCAAAAGAGCACTCCAAAGCAGCTTCATCAAATTAAGACATAGCAACCTAGCTAATAATATATATATATATATATATATATATATATATATATATATATATATATATATATATATATATATATATATATAAGTATTTTGTATGCACAAAAATTCATGCCTAATATTAAAATTTAGATAAATAAAAATAATTAAAAAATTTTAGTTTAAATTATATTTTACAATTTCTTAATGTAATAAATTTTAATCATTGTATTTTAAGATTATATATAGAGAGAAAAAAATTATATTTTGTTTAATAATAATGTAAATAATTTTGATAAATTTTTATACTCTATTTTATATAAATAAATAAAATATCTATAATAGCCTATAGAAAAGGACATAAAGGCTATGTTTGGCAAAGAAAAGTAGCATTGAAAAATGGAGAGCTATTAAACTAGCACTACAAGAAAAATGCACATAAATGTAAAACGACTAAAAATGACATCTTCATAAATTTTAAATTGTTTTAAATTCTAAGTAGGATTGTTTATCTATTAAAATTTAACATTTTAAAGTGTAAAGATTTATAGAATCTTATAAAACATTATAGAACTCATATGATTGTATTGAATTTGAAGGTGAATTTTAGATATATAATCATATTCATATGATCAAGTAGACCTCCATCGTCGGTTGAGGAGGTGAAATAAATATAAAAAAATTAACCTCATGGACTCATTTTGTAACCATCTAAGTGGTCCCAAGAAAACTTATAATTGAAAAATAAAATATTTTTTTTCCTCAAAATTAAATAGGAGAAGAAAAAAAAAGGCTAAAAAAGTTTTAATGGGGAGAAGTAAAGGATGTCATTTATTTAAAATAATAAAAATAAAAATGAAAAAATGTTACGAAGCTACTAGCTTATTTTTGGAAAGTAGCTAGTATTTCAAAATAAGCTCTTATTTAACCTACTAGCTTATTTTGGAAACATTACCAAATAAAGCTTATAACTTATTAGTAGTTTAAAATAAGTTATAAGCTCTTAAATAAACCGTTGCCAAATATAGCTAAATTATGGGTATAACCGGGATTGAGACTTATTATATATTTTCATAATAGATTAGATTATGATATTATTATATTATTATTATTATTAAAAAAAATACATTCACAAATGGATATAATTAATGCAGATGAGCAATCTTATTTTGTGCTTAAAAAGAGGAGAAATTTATCTTCCTAATACATATAATTAATTCATTAAATTTATTTCTGAGATAATTTAGTTAAATTTATTCTTCCAATGGTTTATGTTGTTTATACCACAAAAAATATGAGTGGTGATGCCACTTTCTCTAAACAAACACACAAGTCTTGCACTATAAAAGCAACCTACGGAGTATTTTTCACAACAGAGAATATATCAATCTAAAAAAAACAAAATAAAAGCCTCTGATTGGGTTGGCCTAAGACCTCTCCAATCAAGGAAAGAGTTGAGGGTCCAATCCGTGACAGGGAGGGTTGAACCCAGCAATACCTAAAGGGTTCAATCTTGACCAAAACAAAACAAAACAAAAAAAAAAAAAAAAGTACTAAATAAGAAATTGATATAATATCCGTAGCTAAGATAATGGCCGGGTTTAATATCAATTGTTTTTGCATGTTTCTGGTTACTTTCGCCATAATACTCCCCAGCATCTCGGGTCACATCGCTGAGTGGGACGAGGTATGGCAGCAGCGTAAAATAGAAGCCTGGGAGCACGCCCTCAAAACATTCGAGCCCGATCCTTCTAATGTTAGTGCTGCATTCAACGACGAAGTTCATAAGTACGTATTACGTTTAATTTGTTTTTTATGCATGCGTGGATAGATGGGAAAATATAATTGTTTAATTTAGATATGTTTGTGTTAGTTGTGAGTTAATTATAAATTTGGTGCAGGACATTGTTGGAATCCAAGAATGAACCAGACAGAAAGAAGTTCGTTAACGGATCAGATGACACAAGGAGGCAGCTAGCGCATCGTAAGCCTTACAATGGACCGTGTAATGCCACAAATCCTATCGACCGTTGCTGGCGTTGCCAGCCCAACTGGGCTAACAATCGGAGGAGATTGGCCGATTGCGGAATGGGGTTTGGGCGTAAAGCCATAGGCGGCAAGCACGGCGTTTTGTACGTGGTTAATGACCACTCTGATGATCCTTCGAATCCCAAACCTGGAACTCTCCGACATGCGGTCATCCAAAAGAAACCTTTGTGGATAATCTTTTCACGAGACATGAACATCAGGCTTAACCAAGAGCTGATAATGCAAAGCGACAAGACCATCGATGGGCGTGGGTTCCAAGTTCACGTCAGTGGTGGGGCCGGGATCACCCTCCAATTTATCAAGAACGTCATCATCCATGGCATACGTGTCCACGACATCGTCCAAGGTAGCGGTGGCATGATCAGAGACGGCGTTGACCACTATGGACTGCGAACCAGGAGCGACGGAGACGGTATTTCCATCTTTGGTTCTTCGGATGTTTGGGTAGATCATGTGTCCATGAGGAACTGTTACGACGGCTTAATTGACGCCATTGAAGCATCCACCGCCATCACTATTTCAAATGGCCACTTCACCGACCACAATGATGTGATGTTGTTTGGTGCAAATGATTTTTCCCCAAAAGACAAGATCATGCAAATCACCATTGCTTTCAACCACTTCGGGAAGAGATTGGTTCAGAGGATGCCCAGATGTCGGTTCGGATACATCCATGTGGTCAACAATGATTACACACATTGGAACATGTATGCCATTGGAGGTAGTTCTGACCCCACTATCATTAGTCAAGGCAACAGGTTCATCGCTCCTCCAGACATTCACAAAAAAGAGATAACTCACAGAGTGAAGGGGACTCCACAGGAATGGATGCAGTGGACATGGAGATCACAGGGAGATATATACATGTCTGGAGCTTTCTTTGTTCAGTCTGGGGATCCAAATTTCATGTCAAAGCACCATCAATTGTATGATGGTATACAGCCATTTAAAGCGGAGGATGTGACTTGGCTTACTAGGTTTGCAGGGGCACTAAATTGCAGGATAGGATCACCCTGTTAGATATGATCGATTATATACTCTTTTGAATTGTTTTGTCCCTACTACATTTATTAATTATTATTAATTATATATATTATACTGTTGAGATATCCCCAGCCCAGTTGGGAGATTTTGTAATATAATTGCTCTTTTATTCCCATGAAAGAAAGAGCAAATCCCTTTTGGGTTTGATTAAATATATACTTTATTTCTGAAAACATACTACTCATCATCAAATTTATTTATGCATTTTTGGATTAATTTTTTAAAAAAAACTTTATACCCATATATAAGTAAAAATCTTGACGTTAAGTAAATAATAATTGAATATAATATAAAAAGAGAACACATGTTATGTTCTGTAGTATTAATTAATCTTGTACACTTATCTAGTAAATAAATAATTTTGGAGTTTGGGCTGGAACGAGTCAAGAACCCAAAACATTACAACGGTATTGCGCGGGCCCACAGGAAGCCACCTCACGATGGTCTAATCCAATAATAATTACGGAGTAATAAATAATTTGGGATGGCAATCAGTATTCTTACTAGAGAAGGAAACAGCAATTGTGTGGTAGATTACGTTGAAAACGACCGCTGTTTCAGAGGCCGGTTTTCAGCTAAAAGAGAGCTTTTTGTTGAATGAATATACAAAAATTAAAGATCCAATTTTTGAATAGGGATCACTCAGTTTCGTGGCAATTTCTATATATACCAGTTTTAGAATCTAGTTTTCTGGTATTCTTGTTGGGTTTTCACTTTTCTGTCAGCAGCAGCTACTTTTTAAAGATGATGATCAATTTCCAAGGACTGGCAAAGCTAAAAGCTTCTCAGGTAAGCTCCTTCCTCTTCTCTACATTCAAAAGATCGCATATATGCTTTATATCTATCTGTGTGTATTTGTGAAGCAGATATACATTTTCATTTTGGTGTTCATAGTCATTAGATTGTCTGTTGCTTTCTGATTGCATGGTTTTAGCAGTGAATTAGAGGGCATTTCATTTCTTTTTCATATGGGTGGGGTGGGTATAAATGAAATGTTTCTGAGTATAAAAGTCAAACTTTTGCTTAGGGATTCATTTAGCAGTTTACTGTTTAATTTGATATAAGTTTTGGGTTTTCCTTAATCTGCTTGACTTGACATGAAGTCTTGAAGTTAGGATACTGTTTGTCCTTTCTTGTTTGTCTTTAGGATAATGTATGTATTTATTCAGAATTGGATTTCCTTTCTTGTGAGCTGAGCACAGAGCACCTGCTTACTTTATGCTTGGATTGGGCTTTCTTTAAAGCCTAATTTTGAGCAATACATACTGAATTTTTTTTTAATCAAATTTCTCATTTGACTATTTCTTTGTAGTTCCCTGTATATGATGCATCAAATTTTGGTTTCCTTGTAATTTTAAGTAGTTCTTGCTATGGAAATATTCATAGGTCATATTTGAAGATGCATTTGTGGCTAGTGATCCTGGCACCCTTGAGCAACTGAAAGAATTAAGTTGTAGAAGGAGATCTATTGAGTTTATTAACAAGAACAGCTGTGTCACAGAGGCTATTGCAAGGGAAATGTCTGGGGGGTTGACCTCTCGCTATGAGCAGGTAATTATTTCTTTTTAGTAATTTGAAAATCTCAATCTCAATCTCTGTATAGTACATTTGTGATTTTGTATGCTTTGGTTATGGTCTCTTGCAGAACATAAAAAATGTGGAACAGTATTTGCCGCTGCTGGAAAACTTAATTGGCTGTGTTGATTTGATGAAAGGACACCCTCGTGTAGTTGGCTGGGTTTCAGACCTCAAGATAACATGGTGTAGTCCTCTTATTTCATCATCTTTCTTTAATAATAGAAGCCCAAAGTTGTATCAGATTAATGATTTGAGATTTGAGCTTGGGATGGCTCTTTTTCTTTATGGTGCATTGCTCCAAGATTTGGCCAGAGAAGTTCTATGCACAGGTTTGTACAAGTTTTAATTTTCACCCATTATCAATGCTGCAATCTATATAAATCTTTTGTTGTTGGTTCTTATAATGTTATATATATTTCTACTATTTCACAGATCTCGTGCAATCTACTTCTCTCTTCAGAAAAGCTGCAGGAGTTTATCATCATATAGCTCATGAAGTTCTTCCCAATTTGCAGCATAATTTGCCTCCAGAACGGCCACCAGAGGCTTTGACGACTGTGTCTGCTGTTTTCAGCCTTATTTGCTTGGCTGAGGCCCAGGTTAGTCTTTACGAATTTCAATTTCTCTCTTCTTCGTAAGGTCAGTCTGTCCATTGTGAATTTCAAATTTTCTTACAATTGTTTTCTTTTTCTATGCAACAAAAAACTTTATTAGGCTGTTGCTGCAATGAAAGCAGAGCAAAAAGGGACTACTGGAGGGCTTTTAGCAAAGCTGCATTATGGTGTTAGTGAATTTCTTGAAAAAGCTCTTTGTAATATGCAGGTGGCAATCAAGAACTGCAAAGATATTTCGTCGCACTTTATGGTATGCATGCCTCACCAGAATCGGACTGAATTAATATGTGCAATAGTTTTTGCTCGATCGGTCTTGACTCATTAACTCATTGTTCCCATCATCTTCAATTCTGTGTATGCAGGATTACATTTCAAGCTGCAAAACCCTGCACGAGTTGGAGAGTTACAAGTATCTCGCACAAAGTCTGAAGAATGATGGCCAAACTGGAGCTGCCATTGGAGTCCTTCACTTTGCATTGAAAAGTAAACAAAAACATAAGCCAAAAGAGGAGTCATGGAGATCAGTTTACAACCAGATAATTGATAGCATGACTGCATTGCTCCAAAAGTATGAACGTGAAAACGAGGTTGTGTGGCATCAAAAGATCCCGGCACCTCATCAGTTACCCTCACCTGAAGGTGTAAAAATTGTTAGCTGCATACCTTATCAACCCCAGAAGTGGGAGAGAAGTCTAGTTTTCAAAATTTGAGATGTCAAGAAACCTGTACAGATGTGATTTTGCCTTCCAGGAAAGCATAGCTAATTAAAGCAGTTTTTGTGGACTTAAGAACATACATACATACATACGAAAAATCGAAGAAAACCTGTTATTAATGTTACATGTAAGAAGTTGGCAATCTTCTCAATAAATAATTACAATTATTGGGTAATTATCAAGTTTGCAACTTTGCATGCCATTTACTGGAGAAAAAGTTGCTACTGAAATAAATTAGGCGGTAAGAAGTCCAGCCAAATGGCAGAACCAAAACCATTCAAAATAGCGCAGTCAAAGAGTCCAAATGCCCATTCGAGTGGCTAAAATAAACATAGAAAGAGAAACACCATCCTCCAAAGTGAAAACTATCCAACAAGATCTAAAATCTACAGAGAAAGATTTCTCTTTTCTTGAATATATTTATGGCTTTCCACTGCAATTCAGTTCCATGCTTCCCCTGCCAACCAGCTTGCGGTACAACAAGAAGACACATGTCCCCTTTCTCGCTTACCCATTTCATTACACCTCAAAAGACTCCATTTTTGGCCACTTCTCTCAATTCCTCAAGTTCCAGGTAGGTATTCCGGGTATGAAAGAATTGCAAAATCTATTTTTATATTGGGGTATGTTCACTTACTTAGTTACTTTGCAGGATGATTAAGGGCATTTCTGCTGTGGTTTCTGACCTAAATGCTGTGGAGTCTAATTACTCTGGGATTGATGTCTTCAAATTAACTTACTTGGAGGTTAGATTCTTATGTCTATTGAATGGGTTTTCTGCTTAATTTCTCATTCCCCAAAGGTTTGATTGTTGTGCAATTCATATTAATTTGACTAGGGAAATACTTGGTTGTGGGAAGTCGGAGGGGTAAAAATATTGGTGGATCCTATTTTGGTAGGTAATTTGGATTTTGGGATTCCTTTGCTTTATGATGCTGCCAAGAAGTTTTTGAAGAATTTCCAGGTACTTTTTGTTGTTTCTTCTTATGTTATTAATATTAGGCAGTGATTAGTATCTTTTCTTATGAATTTGTTGTAGTTGTTTTAAATTCTTTACTTAGGACTGAAAAGTTAGTGATTTTAGAGCAGCTTGATGATCTTCCAGAAGTTGATTATCTACTGATTACACAAAGCCTTGATGATCATTGTCATCTCAACACCTTAAGGCCCCTCTCTCAGAAGTCGCCAAATCTCAGAGTTATTGCAACTCCGAATGCAAAAGGACTGTTGGATCCTCTTTTCAGCGATGTAGGTGATGCATTAATTAGCTTGTATGTTCTTAATTTTTCTGCATTCAACATAAATAACATATCAAGAACAATGAAAATTATGTTAAATGTTCTTGCAACATCACTATTATGCAGTGTGCCTTCTCTTACGTTATGAAGTAGTTTTTTTAATGTTTGTTTCAAAATCTTGTTAGGTCACATACTTGGAACCTGGTCAGGACTACGATATTGAAGCGAGCAACGGGTTTAGAGTTAAAGTGAGGGCGACTGCCGGGCCAGTTCTTGGTCCTCCTTGGCAGCGACCTGAGAATGGGTACACATTCTGCCTATTATATGTTCAGTCTGTCTTCAATCTCTGGCAATAGAAAGTTAGAAACCTAGCTTATTTTTCTGTACCTAATTATATGCTCCAGTTATCTTGTCACTTCTCCACAAGGCGCGCTTACTCTATATTACGAACCACATTGCGTCTACAACAAGACTTTCCTAGAAAAAGAACGAGCAGACATCGTTATCACTCCTGTCATAAAGCAACTTTTACCGAACTTCACATTGGTTTCTGGACAAGAAGATGCGGTTCAGCTCGCAAAGCTCCTCTCTGCCAAGTAAGTTACTTAAAGCAGCTTGCTTTTGAACATAGAAACAGAACTTACAATAAGTCAGAAATAAACATCGGTGTCTGGTTGGTTTTCACAGGTTCATTGTAGCCATGAAAAACGGAGACCTTGATAGCAAAGGGATTCTTGCTAGTCTCGTTCAGGCTGAGGGGACAATAGAATCATTTAAGGTATATATGTCTTTCTTGGTAAAATGGTGTTTTCTGAGTTCTGATGATGAGGAGCCATAACTTTGTGTTCCATAATGCCTCAGGAGATTTTGTCAAAGGAATTACCATCTGCAAAGGTTCTTGAACCTACTCCAGGAGTACCTCTGGATATATCACCTCCCACCAATGAATCCTAGTTGTGCCATTAACAACAATTTTCATTTGTTTTGTGCATACAATGTGGAGGGTGTATCATTTAAGAATGTTGAGAACAATCAAATATAAATGTACAATGTAGTACTGTGTAGAAACAAATTAATAATAAATTTATAATAATTTCTTGTACATATTTCAATCAAAGATTCTATCAATGGTAATGGGGGACTAGTCCTCCCATCCAAAAACCCCTATTTTGCAAGAGCAAGTGCTTAACCAATCTCGTTTATGGCAGGCTCTAAACCGTAATTTTACTAAATAATTAGTTTCGTGTTTTGACTAAGGTCAAAATGTCATTTACCAAACGAGCCCAATAACTTTGAGGTTGAGTATCAATTGTGTGGATTTGTTAACTAATTTTGAGTAAGTTTCAAGTGGTACAAGTCAATAACTTTTGCCACACTTAAATTGAAGGATAATATTTAAACTGGAGATTTTACTTGCCCACACTCCATGGAGATCTTTTTGAAGGAGGACAGTATTTGTAATATTCGACAATTTTATGTTTGTTCCAGCTGTAGGCTTGTTGTTTAGTTAGCTTCCAAAGGTGTACATATTGATTCTTTTACTATTATATCCTCGAATCTGAGCTTCTTAGATTACTACTCAGTACATTTCAACCACAGCCACCGCCGCTCCCATAACCGCGCTCTCCGGGCGTGAATGCAATACAGGTATGCGTTTTTCTTCAATCGCCTCAACTTCAGCTTGCTTTTAAATTAGAAATTTTCAATATCGGGTTTGATTTAATTTTTTTCGGTTTTGATTAATTTGGTTTCGAGTATATTCGATTAATATATTTTGAAGCGGGGACGGCGGAGAAGTAGGTGGCTAGCCGTGCCCAGCACTTGTCTTAAGTTAAATCTCCGGTTTCCTTGGAATCATACTTCGCGTTCCCATTCATTTGCATTTCTACTTTTTCTTTCCAAAAATTAGTTGCCAGTTAATGAATAAATGCTCGGATTTGATAGCTTAGCTACTATTCCAACACCATTTTTATGCTAATTTTAATTCAAATTTGCGTAGCCTGCTTAAAGGGAGGAACTTGAAGATATGATTTTGCTAGCAGTTCTACTGAGTGTACTTATTTTAAAGATTTGACAGCAGGAGTAGAACATTGTTTTGAATGCCAAATTTCATGATACCGATATGATTTTGCTAGCAGTTCATAATTTTATTGAAATTGAGGATATGTTGTTCAAGGAGAATAACATTAACATATAGTTTTGTGTGCTGTTCATAATTTTATCAATATTCAAGGACGCGCTCGATTAGTTAAATTGAAGATAATGAAGGTGCTACTAGCAGCAGCTCCCAAAGTTCTGTGGACATTAGTTTTAGCCAAAGTTGATCAATTCCCTGAAAAAGCTCGAGTTAGATGACACTACTACCTGATTTTAAGCTAGTGTTGAAGGAGAATAGCGACTTAAGTAGTTTAAAATGCAAAATGTTTGAGATCAATAATTACATGCTAATATTTTTTTGGTTATCCGTTTTTGGTTAGTTCATATAATCTATGTTGGATTACATTGTTCTTGTATATATGACCAAATTATTAAACTCTGAAAACAATTGAAAAGAAAAGTTTGTCATGAAGTTCCCTTGTTTTGCTACTTGTTTACTTTTCTGTCTTTTTGCAGTATGTGTCTCTGACATTGTTTTTCTGTCTTTCGTATTACCTGTTCTTTCCTTTTGAGGATGATAATAACTTCATATTATGAATCAATGTTATTGTAGGGCCAAAGAATGTTTTGAACCAACTTTAGAGGCATAGAAAATGTTTTGTTGTTTGAGTTCGACATCTATTACCTCCACCAAGTATGGCATAGCTCCAATCCCCAGAGGAAGATCATCTAGGAGTAGGACATATGTTCTGCAATCCTCATCAAGGCTATTGATCCAAGCTGTGCAAGAGAACGAGGGGCCTCGACGGTTGGTTGACATCATTCGTATTCTGCCCGAGGTGTCAAGAAATTACTTCAAAAGCCCTTCTCGAAGGGCTCTTTTCGGAGGCATCTCCTTGCTGGGTGGATTCTACGTGGCGCAAACTATCTCCCTGTCATTTGGAGCCTTAGGAGTGAACGATGTAATCGCTGCTGTGGTGTGTGTTCTGCTCACGGAGTATGTGACACGGTTTTACTACAGCCGGCCTAAGGTCACTTTTCCTCTTGCCCTTTTGAACAATTTTAAGATGGGGTTTACTTATGGTCTCTTCATCGACGCTTTCAAACTCGCCAGTTGAGCTAACGTAACTTGTCGGGGATATTGTAGAAACTGATAAATAACAATTTGCCCAAGCTAATATCAAGTTTGGAATACACATATGAATAGATTAAAATTGTATGCTAGTAAAAGTTGTTCTCATAATAGTTAAGATGATGACAACATGTGAAAGTGATAAATCTATGCATGTTGTGAAAACATTGAGGACATTCCATGTTTTCAGGGATGTGACCTAAAGTGAGTGGATATTCAACAGCACAACATGGGTTGTGATGCTTAGAAGAAGGGGACAAAGAAGTAATCTTGTTATAACAGTCTTTGAATGCTTGGCTGAAACCTTGTTTGGGCACATTGTCTTTCCATGTTTCATATTTGTTCATCACTGCCAATATTTTATCTGTTAGGTCACACACAATCACTTCTTTTCCTTCACTTAGCAGTGCCCATCCTCCAACTGTTGTACCCCTAGCTTCATAAGCTAGCAATTTTTTGAGTCCTTTAGCAATGTTGTCACCCCTTTCATCAATGCCAATTTCATTCAAATAATTGATTCTTGACACCAACACACTTCGAAGTCGTAGCCAAAAACTCCGAGAGTCTCTACTCTTATGGACATAATCACTTATATTCTCAACCACGGACTTAACTTTTATGCTTTTTCCAACATATGCCAACTTCATCTCCAATTGGATCTTGGAACTAATTTCCTTTATTTTTGTTGCAAATTCTTCAACGCATTTAATGTTATTCCCTCCATATAAGAAAATGCATTCTCCCTGCTCACTCTATCCAAGCAAAGATTATAGTGTTATAAAATGTTCAGTTTGAAGTTCAAACATGAAAATATCAAATGATGCGAATGTTTATTTCGTTCTTTTTTAATAAAATCACTTTAAAAATAAAATGTTGGGGGGTTTAATTATAAAACAAGGTTATACCGTTATATGTAGTTGCAGACTTGGTAATAAGTTGAAAATGGACTTACCCATCCTCTTATCTTGCTGAACCGGGAAGGATATATGACAAGATTAACAGACCAAGTTTCTGCATTCCAAAGTGCTTTCTCTTTGCTGCTTGTATAGTTGTAGGAACGAACCTATCGAGTGAAAATAGTATAACAAATATAATTAAAATGAGTTAATACTTAATTTAGTCATCGATTATAGTACTGTAGATATATAGTTAATACCTAATTTGTTGCACCTTTTTGAAAGTGTTAATTGTATTGTAGATATATAGTTGCAAGTAGTTGCATTAGTAAAAGTTTAGAATTGAATAAACTTACCGATCTACTCATTTCTGAATTAATATCACGCGTCCAATTACTGATCCTTCTATAAAAGTCTTCGGCGAAAATATTGATCTTGTTGTCAATATCATCAATCACATAATTAACACCAGCACGTAAGATCATCTTCTTCATGTCTTGTAATAATGACAAGTATAAATCAGATCCATCGGTAACACTAGGAACATCAAGCTCATTGCTTCCCCATGTCATCATCATGTGGAACGCATTAAAATGAACCAATCTTCCGCGATTATCCAATGAAATAACGAATGGTTCTCCCCCAATTTGGAAGGGTGGAAAGTATGTCTTCAAGACAAATCTTATAAATTGTGGTGCAATCTTTTCCAGTGGATCAACACGATAGCAGCAATCAAATAACTTGAGATTCCAATCTGAGTTTTCATTACTCCACATATTAGGATAATCTACTATAGGAATCCAAATGGTTCGCACGTATTTGTTCTTCCGCAACTGATTGGCAAGAAAGATAATATCAGACACATTTGTGCTTGAAGTTATCATCAGTACCAGTCCTTGGTTCTCGAAACGACTTATTCGGTGGCCACTTCTCTAATTACAAAAAATCATAATCACTAATACCATATTATTTAACTAAAAAAAAAAAAAAACCTAACTAATAATCTAACTTCTAGTTGGGATAATATCCCACTATTCTTCTCACAAAGGTTGAATCTCTAATTCCAAGAGTTTCAACATTTCGGCTGGACAGGACATTTTGGAAGATGTAAACCATGGTGACTGCATACTGAACCAATAAACTAAACTCATATCCCACTATTACAAGGCTAAGAGAAGTACTAATCTTCATTTTTTGTTAAAATATATATTAAATTACCTGATGTCCATAAAATATAGCTTCATCATCTGTGACATTGAAAATTAACTTGAGAACTTCCAAATTGTTAGAAGAATGACTAAAAGCGTGCAATAACGCCTCATAAGATTTATCTATCCTTTTTGCATCTGCACATAACAAACCATAATTATTAATATCATTCCCACTCTTCCGCCATCATTATGAATGTGTATAAATATTGACACCACACAAAGTATGAATTTGGTTTCAGAGACCAACCTAGTAGTTGGCAGCAAACAGAGAGTATGCTTTTAGTTTTGTCAATTAAAGTGGATTCTTCTGTTACCTCATTTTTGGACCTGAAAATGAATACCAATAGAGAATATATAGCACTAATATATATATATGATGATAAATAAATTAGATACTTGATCTTACTCAAAGCTAAGAATTTGATGGGCATAATGAAGAACATTTCTTGTAATCCAATAATTTGCCAGAATTAGTGATTGTGGTGGAGAGGAAGATGAGAGTTGATAAAGATGAACCACACACTTGGCAAGATTTAGCATGAGTTTGATGGAATCACCATTAACTAACTTCTCAATATTAGTGTAAGATGGTGTAGGACACAATGCTTGTTTGAAAATGCCCAATCTTCTGTTCTGATAGCATTGTTGGGGAAGAAGAATATTGAGTTTTCCATATATCACAGCGAAAGCTGCCAACATCATGACAGGCTTAGCCTCCCAGGTGTAGGCTGATAACATGTCTAGTAGACAGATTGTGTTCCGGTGACCATCAATTTCATTCAAACTCTTAAATGATATCTGAAAATTAAAATAGATTTTGAATTTTATTATTGTAACATTAATCACACATCACATCTCAATAAATCAGCTTTCATGCATATTTCATAATAGTATATACATATACCAAATTAAAGGTTAATTGAAGAATCACCTCAGAAGAAAGTTGTCTAATTTGATATGAAAAGTCCTCATGAGTGAGCTCTAATTGTGTATTTAGGCTGTCTTGCGTGGTTTCGCCAAGATCCTAAACCCCATATATATATCCATATAAAAGAAAAGTAATGGAAGCATCATACAAACTAATAAGTTAGATGGTATAATATAACTTCGATCATCTGATCTTGAGATATATAAAATACATCAAAGATAAATTTCAATAAACCTTTTTTCATAATAGATAATAAATATAAAGTAGTAATAGGTGTAGTATGACAAACCGTGTTAATGTTGAAAACCTTCTCCACATAATCAAAAATAAATTTTGAATTAAAATTGATACCACCACTGCAAGCGTGTGTAGCTATAACATGTTCCATGATAATACTCTCATCAAGGTCATCCATGACTTGGTGGTTATGATATGCCGACTAGAATGCTAATTAAGTATGTATTCTAGCCAAGAATATATTGGTTTTCTCTTTTAGGGAAGAGAAGTTAGAGACTACTAGTAAACAAATGGCCGGGCTGGTAAGTTGTGTTATTTATGCATCTTTATATAGCTCATGAAAGTGCTGGGAACAATATGGAATAAAGGTTTGCTTCAACTCTAATTCAATCAAACTTGTCTTCTAGTATAGCTTACTTTTAAAGTACTCAATGTTTGTATGCATAATTACGTATAAACATATATATACACAATATTATTCTTATTGGTCTCTCTTTTGTATAAACATAGCACCCTAATGGAAGACTTGTGTGTAGATACTTATCTTGAACAAAATTTTGATGTGCACAACCAATCATACAGTCATATGGTACCCCATATGACGCCTGCTACCAACATTCTAGACAACTCGTCGTACTATTTTTATACTAAGGTATACACCATGTACAACCCTGGAATGTAACTCTTGGTCCAATTCTTGTTTTTCCTTTGATGCTTCTATGCTCCAAATAATTTTCTATCATTCCATATTGCATGAAAATCACTCAGTTGCTTTGATCAAGTTAAATTGTACCTAATTGAACAAAAACGCAAACAAGAAATCTTTTAAATATGATAATTACATTTTGAGCATAAAAATGATATTAAATATCTAATAAAATATGAACTCATCATACCCTCATAACTAGGTAGTTAAGTCGATTGTGCCAATTAATGATCGCTAAAGTAATGGCTAACTAAATAACTAATGTAACTCTTAGTTTTTTACTAAGAACGTCCAACCTAGTTGTTCGGAAATTCAACCTCAGAAATAGAGAAATGCAGGTAGATTAAACCCACAATATTTGAGTAACAAGTTAGTAGAATTATCTTATAATTTGATCAATTTTTTTTTTAAGATTATAAAACAGATATACATATATGCTCACACATACAATATGGTGTACAAGTATTCTCAGTTATACTAATACCAAATATTTTTTATTTATCTAAACTCATTCTATATCAATAATGAATAATTATGATTTTTTTTTTTAGTGTTATCCGACTCATTGCCATACATAATTGATAATTGTCATATATAGGTAGAACCGTTGCCGTATAGCATTCGAGGGTTTGAAACTTAAACCCTTAACAAGATAAACCCCCAAAACCCTAGAAGCTCCTCCTTCTAGACTTTTCTCTGCCTCTAGTCATATATAACCCCCTGCTTCACTGCAACCGCACTTCTTGCTCTGCTATCTCTTCGTCCACATAACTGAATCTTTCTATCATCAGCGGAAACTTCTCGTCAAAATCATGTATCGTTTTGCAGCAAATCTTGCCTCTAAGGCCAGGTATTGTCTTGAAAACGTTTCAATTCCCATCCCAGTTCTTTCTGAATTTTGCAGAATCTGCATTTTGCTAAAACCTCCACTTTTTATGATTACAGGGTCGCTAAGAACAGCACCCAACAGGTACTTTATTGTTTTCTCAGTAGATCGGATTCTTTTGAAGTTTGGTTTTGCATTGGGATATTCTGTATAATGTGATGGCTTTGTCCCTAAAATGCAATTTTTAATATCCAGATTGGTAGTAGTTTAAGTTGGAGTAGAAACTATGCTGCCAAAGATATAAGATTTGGAGTGGAAGCTCGGGCATTGATGCTCCAGGGTGTAGAAGAGCTTGCTGATGCAGTTAAAGTCACCATGGGTCCAAAGGTATCATTTTGTCTTTAGAAAACGTTTTTTTTCACATGGGGTGTTGTTTATGAGAGTTTCCCTTTGTGTTAAATCCATAAAGTATTGCATTTATTCTTTTTGAACTGAACATTTTACTCTAAAGATGTGATCTTTGTTGAGGCTGTGACAAGTAAAGTGTTTATTTTTTATGTTTCTAACTTGTAATTCGGTATTTGTCTCAAGTGTTCAACTTGAGAATTCTTTGGGTCTGAGGCATTTTCTACTAATCTGTTCCCTACTTATTTCCTTATGGTAGTTGTGCTTATACTTTTTAAGAATATTGTACAGAGTAAATCATTTGCTTAAGAAGCAACAAACTTTACAAAGATCGAATTAGGATGACTTGGCTCAGTTTCTATTTTAAAGAATTTTTTACCATCAATGTTGGGGAGTTTTATGTAAACTTTACCTTAAGTTTTGTAGTTGGTTAGCAGATTAGATTTTGTCTTATCAAATTGTTCCCTTGAAACAAAATTCAGTGCATTGCCCTTTGATCTATTGACATCATTGAATTAGAGAACACTGGATCAAATAAATTTCTTCAGTTCTGCAATGTATTCTATTGACCATTGAGTGTTGGTCCTCTAATAGAGATAGAGATGGAAGGGGAGAGAGTTCCAGTGTTATTGCTTTTGCCTTGTTTGTAAGGTTGGGGCCTTGGTTGTGAATATAAGGGAACTAATTTCTGTGAATGTTTTTAATAGGATACTCTGTTAGTATGGGTGCGTTAACAGATTTTTCTTTTCACTTCTTAAGGGGCGTAATGTTGTGATTGAACAAAGTTGGGGTGCTCCCAAAGTGACAAAAGATGGTGTCACTGTTGCAAAAAGTGTTGAATTCAATAACAAAGTCAAGAATGTTGGAGCAAGCCTTGTAAAGCAAGTGGCTAATGCTACTAATGATGTTGCTGGTGATGGTGAGTCTAGGCCTATTTCAAAGTGCATTTCACATACATGCTTTAGATATGCCAACTTATTAGCTTGGATGCATTCTCCCCAAACCAGGTACGACTTGTGCAACAGTCCTCACCCGGGCAATATTCGCTGAGGGCTGTAAGTCAGTTGCAGCTGGTATGAATGCGATGGATTTGAGACGTGGCATTACCATGGCTGTTGATTCTGTTGTAACAAACCTGAAGAGCAGAGCCCGGATGATTAGTACATCAGAGGAAATTGCCCAGGTATCACTATCAGTTTTTAAGTGTTGTGCATCTAAAGCCTTATAAGTTCTTGGTGCAAAACATAGATGTACATTACCCTGCACTATTGTCTCTGTAAAATTCTGTATGCACTAGGAGTCTTATATATCTGGACTCCCCTTCTTCCCAACTCTCACTTCTCTCATGAACTTATTGAATAGTTACAAATGATATCAAGTTCTTACTGTGTAGATCTTCTATCTCCAGTCATTTTCTCAGTAATGCTCCTTAATTTCTTACACTAACAGGTTGGGACAATCTCTGCAAATGGGGAGAGAGAGATTGGTGAGCTAATTGCTAAGGCTATGGAGAAAGTAGGCAAGGAAGGTGTCATCACAATTCAAGTAAGTGCTTGTATTTGTTTTCTTAACACTATTAACATTGCTAAAAGGAACAACACAAATTAATTTCTTTATGTTGTGGTTGCATCTATTCTAGGATGGAAAGACATTATTAAATGAGCTGGAAGTTGTGGAGGGGATGAAGCTGGATAGGGGCTATATCTCTCCATATTTCATTACAAACCAGAAGAACCAGAAATGTGTAAGTTTTCATAATCTGATGGCTGGTGTACTATGCAATTATTATTATTTACATACAAAGCATAATTCTTCATAAATACTTGCTTACTACTCTGCTACTCTCCCAATTTGCAGGAGTTGGATGACCCTCTCATTCTAATCCATGAGAAGAAAATCTCAAGCATAAATGCTATTGTGAAAATCTTGGAGTTGGCTTTGAAGGTGTTGTTCTTTCTTCAAATTCTTGATAATGATATAGGCTTACTGTAAAAGTTGCCTTGGAGATTTATGCCTCTCTCCATATTATTGTAGAGACAAAGACCCCTCTTGATTGTATCTGAAGATGTGGATAGCGATGCCCTCGCGACTCTTATCCTCAACAAACTTCGTGTTGGAATCAAGGTATTACTTAGCCAAGGATTAGACCTAATCATGATTACTGTGGTTTCAATTATTTGAATTCTGATATGAAAATAATTGGCAGGTTTGTGCCATAAAAGCTCCTGGCTTTGGTGAAAACAGGAAGGCCAATCTTCAAGATCTTGCTACGCTGACAGGAGGCCAAGTGAGAACTGTTCTTGTCATCCCCTTAAATCATATGCTTTTAACACTTGCTAAACAGGTTTGCATTATATTAATCAGGTAATAACCGAAGAGCTTGGATTGAACATCGAAAATGTTGATCTGGAAATGCTAGGAACATGTAAAAAGGTAAATCAATACTTGAATTTGAGGTGTTTTATTTTTTTAAATTATTTTAAGTTTCCTTATTTCATTGGGTAGTACATTTCCCTTCCCAATTAAGAATTATTTCCTTAGTGTATGTGTTCTTCGCATAAATTGACATAGTTATCTGATTTTCCCCAGTAGTTCACTGAATCACTGGTACTAAATTACTAACAAGGGAAATTATTGTTTCAGGTCACCGTATCAAAGGATGACACTGTTATTCTTGATGGTGCGGGAGAGAAAAAGTCCATTGAAGAAAGATGTGAACAGGTTTGTGTGAGAAGCTGCTGGTTGAATGTCTCCATGGTTACATTTGTGTATAGATATAAACAATCAGTATTGTGATGTGAATTTAAAAGCTGTAGTTGAATGTCTTCATGGTAACATTTTGTGGTGTTTATGTTGGCAGATTCGATCAGCAATTGAATTAACCACATCTGATTATGACAAGGAGAAGTTGCAAGAAAGATTAGCAAAGCTTTCTGGTGGTGTGGCTGTATTAAAGGTATGCACTAAAGTTGTCCATCATGTTTTTGTTGCTTATCCATCTTAAGTTAACCAATTTATTTTTCAACCTGCAGATCGGAGGTGCCAGTGAAGCCGAGGTTGGTGAGAAGAAAGATAGAGTTACCGATGCATTAAATGCCACAAAAGCTGCTGTTGAGGAAGGAATTGTCCCTGGCGGTGGTGTTGCACTTCTCTATGCATCAAAAGAATTGGATAAGTTGCCCACAGCCAACTTTGATCAGAAGATTGGTGTTCAAGTTATTCAGAATGCCCTTAAGGTGGGTTTCTAACCTTAGTTATCATTTCTATACAGCTTTCAAAGTGAAACAATCCAATTGTTTCCCTAACCAACGGATGCAATTTCCTAAATGCAGACGCCAGTTTACACAATTGCCTCTAATGCTGGAGTAGAAGGTGCTGTTGTTGTGGGTAAGCTATTGGAGCAAGATAACCCCGATCTCGGATATGATGCAGCAAAAGGTATATGAACGATATTGCATTCCACTGTCCATTGCTTCTTCTACTCTACATATAATAGAACGAAATATGTATGTCTAAGAATACATACATTCCATTCCATATGCAACAGGTGAATATGTGGATATGGTGAAAGCTGGCATTATTGACCCATTGAAAGTTATAAGAACAGCCTTGGTTGATGCTGCCAGGTGAGCCAAAACTCATTTTGTTTTTCCTCTCTCTCTCTCTCTCTCTCTCTCTCTCTCTTTGAACGCACGCTTATCTCTATCCTAATGCTCTTTGCAGCGTGTCTTCCCTCCTGACAACCACAGAAGCTGTGATCGTCGAGCTTCCCAAGGAGGAGAAGGAAACGCCCGCCATGGGTGGTGGAATGGGCGGAATGGACTATTGATAGATAACCTCCCTCCCTCCTTCCCTCCAGTCTCCAGAACGCAACATTTATAACTCCCCGGCATCTGCATATACATACAGCTCGCACTAAATAAGAGACACATTTTGTTTGTGTGTTGAAAGGGAGCACATTCACTGTATTTTTATCAGAGGCTCAGAAATGAATTCATGGTTTTGTAGGACACCAAGGAAATTGTAGTAATTTAGTACTTTGTTTTCTCAAGAGACACATTTTGTTTCCCCTAATTTAATGTTATACATCCTTTGTTTCAACTCCTAACTCCTCTTCAAACAACATTAAAGCTACCTCTCATGAGTTTAGTTTCGTAACTTCAAGTTTGATATCAATGTTGATCATGTCATGCAACTTTTTATAATTTCATTTTAAGTGGACAATAAATCTGCAAACACGTACGGGTCAATGTTTTGTTCAAAGATTTATGGTTCAAGTCATAACATGCCAAAATATGCCATGAAGGGAATCTCCGACTAGGTAAGATTCTTAAATTTTCGAATATCTCTTTGGAATAATATTCTTAATTGAAGATTAAAAAAAAAAATGGAGAATATATTTGCCCAATCAAACGTACGTGTACTACACAAGATGTAGCCATCACAATTCACAATCTTTTGTGTAATTTAGTGGTTAGTACTTTTGTAATTTAATAATAATAGAAGGATGCATATTCTTCTTATGCCAAGAATATTCCACTGCCAGCCTTTAAAAACAAATGATTATGCCTATATATTTTTCCCAACAAATCTTTAATAATTTAAGTTTGTCGTCTGTTTTTTTTTTTTTTTTTTAATCGTTTGCTATGCATTGGTGGAATAAAATGATAAAATTATTGTTATTTCATTAGTTGTCTTTTGTCTTTAATTAGATTATATTTCTCCTACTATGCGTCAACTAAACTGGAATGGATATATACTTTCAATTCTTTTAAACTTACCAAAGAAAGCATTAGACTGCAATCTGTCGCATCCTAAATTACATTCATCAAGAATCTAACATCGGAATTCTACTATTTATCCTTTCTTGATTAATATTCTTTGGAATGATTCTATGTATGTATAGCCTTATAATGCGCTAATACTTATCGTTAATTTTTAATAGTTTTAACTCATGATTTAACAATATCAATTTATTATTATATATTAAAGTGGAACAAAGGTGAATATCAATTCAAAGTCGTCCAAGACATTGTAGCAAATGCATGTAAATTTGTAAAAACACAGGCTAACTAGCTCACAAAAGGAAGAGAGGAGACATGTCTTGATTATTGATAGTCAAATTTCAAATAAAGTATATATCAATCAAAATATATTTGATTTGATCAGTAAGTATTATAAGGATTTATCGTAATATTATATAAGTTAAAACAACATAATTAATAATATATTCTATTACTTTTGATTGCAACTAAAGATAATCTAAGCATGTATAATTGAAAAAAAAAAAAAAAAAACACGTGGTTTGATACATATGAATTAATGTGATGGTCCTTTTGATAATGATATTACACTTAAAATATTAATTGTTCAGTACAAATTAAACATTTGATCATTTACATTATTTTTGTTCATTATACTCCATAAAAAGTCATCTATGTTAACTTTAAGGTCATTATTAAACTCTTCAAAAATATTTAGAAATTTCATGTAAATTTTTATTATTATATATATAACATAAAATTAAGAAATTTAAACACGCTAAGGTAGGAAAATCTGAAATTTGAAATAAAAAACAACTCTATAATTTCTTCTTTATTTATATATTTCATATATAATATGTAACCCATTAATATTACATGCTGATTCAGACGATTAATTGCAAAAATGTTAACTCTTTTACACGTGCACTCGAAAAAAAAAATGTACAATGAAAAATGATTAGTCTTAGGAAGAATGAGAAGTGGTGGTGGTGTGCGTTGAGTAAGAGGTGGAGGGTGAGTCAGAACGCCGTGCTCCGCCTTTCTCACCGGAGAATGGAATTGTTCTATTTTGTTGAGTTTGTTTTGGTGTGGTGGCGACCGGCGCGTATATTCCATTTGAAGTGGCAGCTTCACCGGACGTCGGCGGAGGTGCCATCGCTGCTGCATATTCCGGTGGCGGCACCCAAATTCCCCCCACCACAACAAATTGTGGTCCTTGCTGCTGGCTACCGTTGTTACGAATGGACGGAGTTGGTCTTCTAGTATGTAGCCGATATTTCTGTAACATAGGAGGATTTCATTCGTTAAAAATAATGTAGTCCGTAAATAAAAGAAAATAACATAAAATAGTGGAATATTCTTGTGGTTTCTAGAATACCGCGCGAAGATCTAAGATCCATTCTTGTACAAGCTAAGTAACAACAACGTTAAAGTTCAACTATACTATTTATTGCCATTCTTGGATTCTCTACAGTCTACAAATTAAAGGCTATATATCTATATATTGCAAACTCCATTCCATAATAATAATAATAATAATAATAGTCTATATTCACAAACCTGCAAGTGGCTCTTAACTTCATCATTTGTAAGACCATCCACCTTCATTAATTCCCTGATCTGTTTTGGCGTGGCAACTGCACAATTTATTAGCAAAATAAGATTTAAATGCTAAATAATAATATGACATTACTTATTATTGAAAATAAAATTAGTTTTTGTTTATGGAAATGAATAATTTAAATATTAAGGCGTTGTAGAAATTTAGCTTTATTACTATTTATTCACGGAAATAATTAATTCACTGTAAATTAAAATTTGTGATTTGAGGAGTTTTGTCGTCAACCGTACCATGTGAACCGCCGAGTTGTTGGAGGGCTTGCAAGAACCTTCTATGCAACTCCGGCGACCAGCACCGCCTTTGCTTTCTCTGGGACTGTGTTTCCTTTTCTTCCTTCTTACTTCCACCGCCGCCACCTCCGCTGCCGTTACCCACGCCGGCCGTCGTACTGTCTAGCGTTTGCACGGCGGGACTGCTTGTTCCGGCGCTCTTCTCTCTCTTGAACGGATGAAACGCTCCTCCACTCCCATTCCTCTTCACTCCCACCTTGCAATTGCTTGGAGATTCCTATATTAATCCACGCAAACAGAAACAAAAAAAAAATTAAAAAATACAATAAAATAAAGATAAACAGTACATGTAAAGAAACCTTAGCTAACTCAGATAGATAGATGCAATTTAAGCAGATGAGATGATTGTTAATTAGTTTGGAAGAGAGCTGAGATTACCTCTTTAGGGGTTGGATCTGTGAATGACTGATTCCAAAGCTGGGCAGATCTAAGCCAATCTTGTTTCTTGGAAACCTTGCCATCTTTGGAGGAATCACTGGAATCACCATTATTATTGTTGTCATCATCATCATCATCATCAGTCCTATGATTTGCCGATTTAGGAGATTGTTGTTCATCATCTTCCTCGTCCTGAGATAATGATGAAGCCCTCTTCAAAGGAATAAATTCTTCCAACACAGGACCCTCATCATCATCACTAGATGTAGTCTGCTCAGAACACTCAGATTGCCCAATATTCAAATTACACTCAGTCGTCGTTCCCGACAATTGTTGCTTGTATGCCTCTATCGCTGCTCAAAGTTTCCAAAAACAAAGAAAAATAAATTAGAATGGTTATTTCCAAATTTGGAAATTACTACATATGTGTAAGTATATATGATCATGATCTAATCTTAACAATCAGATGAACATCGTTAGTTCTTGAAAAACCACGTGCGATTATATATATACGCAAATGGGGTACGTACCTTGAGTGACAAGCTCAAGACAAAGGGGGAGTTCACGTTGGAAAACTTGAATCTTGCGGCGTTCTTCTTCAAGGGCTTCAATATATTCTTGGCATCTTCGCATTTTCTCTGGGTAATTGGTGCTAGCAGCAGGATCATGGATGGTGATCAACATGGCTGAAATGGAGATTTATGGTTGGTTGATTTCTTAATTCTTGCGAATTTTTTTTGTTTTTGTGTTAATTGTTAGATGTGTTGAGGACATTAAACTGTGGGTTTCTGTCGTGGGAGCTGAGGAAGGGGGCCGGGGGGATTAAATGGGGGCAGGTTTTTTGTCGTCGCATGGAATGGAAGGATCTGGTGGAAAAAATTAGGACAATGGGATCTAATAGAATCACTAAATGGAATAAACTTTTAAAACCAAGGATATATGCAATTGTTTCTAAATGAGCTTAGCTTGCTTCACAATCCATTTTCTACCATGATGTTATGAACTAGTCAATTGTCACAATACCAACTTGTTTTGTTATTGTACTGACTACTGTGTTCGATCTCAAAGACATATTATAAAGAAATGACTGTCGCGAAATTTAGTTTATTTTTTATATATAAATTTATAAAATATCTTGACTACATGCATTATTTATCATTTAAGACTAAAATAATTGCTCAAATATATCTTCAATTATACCTTAAATCTTTTGATAAATACAAATACGAGAGCATTCCAATTTATGATAACGATTCCAATAAATTTTGTGACTTATAAATTATAACAAGGTTTTGCTACGTATACTGGAAGTAACGTAGCACAAGTATTATTCTTGAGATCTCCAAAGCATGCACTCCGATCCAAATATTAAAAAAAATAAATAAAAAAAATTAGGACCTACAAATTCTATTACTCACTGCAAACTGCAAATTAAGCAAGTTAAGAATGGCATAACATGAGTGAAAACATGCATAGAGGTCGCCGCAGGATGTTGGATCGAGGTCGGGGCGTCACATACGAAAGGAATCTTTAATACTCGTACACGTTTAACTTTTTATTTTCTTCTCTTTTGGTCACAGAGAAAGAAATGTGCTGTTGAATATTCGAAGGTGATTCTTGGGATTGACGTGACCCATCGGCAAACAGATAAGATCAATGACTAATAAGAAATAATATCCTTTTTTTTGGTTGCCATATTTATGATCTTTGCCCCACAACTTGCGGGTTTTGTCCTCTGGCAACCCTTTTAATTACTATGAACTGGCAGAACTGAAAATTGCCATTTCACAACTCCGAGGGGCTAGGGGCCGATTTAATTTCCTACAATTAGAAACACCAGATCTCCAACTCTCAATTCTCAATTCAATTTCTTCCCTGATGTGACCTTAATTGGCTTCTTTAAGTGATAATCTCTACGCAATTTAAGATAATCTTGATTACAATTTTTTAATTTAATACCACCTTGTTTAAAATATTATCCCATATTTGTTTTGATTTGTTTATAATATATAAATCTTGTTAGCTTTCATATTACACCAGAAAAAATTGATTAAACCCTCTAAACAACATTAAAATGTACTCCATATTAATTTATTATCTCGTACATACACTTAATTATATATGTTATTAACTTGTCAAAATAATAGACCACATAATTATTAGGCACACAGTGGGCCATGGTGTGCTATGTTCCAAGATAAATCAATCAGGTTAAAAATTTTTAAATAATAATATTACAAGTCATACATATTTTTTATTAAAAAATTATTATTTAAAATTGACTATTCCCACATTGTAACCGATTATTACTTTAGTTCAACTGGAAATATAGGAAACAAATCATATCACCACCATTAATTATATATCATTGTCATTGTCATAAATTATAACTATAGCACTTTCAATTCAATTAAAGCTGCAAAATACAACTATAGCATGAGTATAGTAGATAATTAGTTATAGTCATTGAATTTATAAAAATTAGATTATGAATCTTATCTTTTCGCTAAAGTAAAATTAATTTTGTTTAAAAAAAAAAAAATTGAAACTGACAAATGTTCTATATGCTAAAATATTAGCAGGAAATAAGGGAGAAAGACAAGAGTTTTCTTGGAGTTTGGTGTTTAAGGTCGTTGTCAACTCAAAAGGGGTAAAAGTGAAGAATCAAAGGTAACATTGGGGGTAAAATTGAATTCCCACAAGAAATAGAGGGTGAAAATGGAGTTTCACTTCACCTAATCCCTTAAAATCCATCACGTGTATATATTGCTTGGAATATACCTGTCGGGAGCGTTGGAGAATCACGAGGGCCTTGGATCTTAAAAGAGAAAGAGAAGGAATCTTTTCAGCTAAAGCGTGCACACGCGCACCAAAGCGCCGCGTAAGGCTGTGGCCCCCTACTGAACGCGGAAAAAAGATGTTGGCTTTTCGCGGTGTACAAGGGCCAACAAAATCGCAATTTCCGCCCGACTTGCCTAGTCTGCGAGTGGATGACACGTACGAATCGACCGTTGACACATTCATCTGCCCGTAGTTGTGCTGTTCGAGTCGGCTACGCATTTTAAATAAAGACTGCACTCTAATCCCCATAGCTCAATCATCCTTACACTAAAATTTTGATTAAGGCTGGTGTAATAAAATAAATATATTAATTTTTTTTTAATTAATCAACCAGTTAAACTATATCGAGGTAAATTACATCTCTCAAGAGACGAGAGTTACGCTACTCCGATCCGATCAATCAATTGTCATCTTACTAGACACAACTAATCATCATACATATCGCCAACTTGTCATTAAATAAACCTTAACAAACACCTACTACTCATTAAATGAATTACAAACATGTGAATCTTCAGAAGATATAATGTTCAATCCATATCCAGATTCTGGTGCGACAGGAACCACCAACATTGTACATTTAGCCCATGTGTCTCTCTCGGTGCATTTGTCTGTACTTCATCGCGTGCAAGTTTATGTGGTGCAGCTGCTCATTCTGCCTGTACTAAATTCGACGAGAAAGCAATGCAATGCAGCATTTATAAGTTATAACCACAATATCACCAGCCTCGATTACTAATAAAACTGACTCGGGTTAGCATTTCGTTAAAATTTCAGCCCCCGTCTTTGTAATCAGAATCGTGTGCTCGAATTGTGCAGCGGGGCTTCCATCGGCTGTCAGAGTTGTCCAGTTATCTTCCCAGGTTATACACTCTGTGCTTCCCAGCGTAAGAATTGGTTCTGCAGTAATCACCACACAGATCCACCCGAGTTAAACCGACATCACATTTTGAATGACCAGAAAATGCAACTTTCTCATTGACATTATGACTATAGGACTTCTTTGTGAGAGATAAAGGGGTACGGTTTTGAGGAAAAGTAAAACAAACACATTACTCGTGCAACAAACCAAAGAAAATGCACTCACCAATTGTAAATGTTTGCCCCTCAACCATGCAACCAGACTTGTCATTACCTGTAAAAACAGAGAAAACCAGTACGTTACAAAGAAAGGCAATGTTTGATTTGACATTCACAAACTAGTGCTATCTTACACCACAATGAGCCAATTTAGGGCCAATAACATTCTTAGGGATTTTAGTGAAGTCAAGCATCTTTAGTTGCATAGCTTTCATAAATCATAATTAGTAAGCACTGGCACCGCAAATAGAATTGATGGAAGGAATGTCAATATGGCATGGCGGTGTGTCAAAGTGAACCAAATTGGAAGGTACTTACGATGATGAAATATGAGTGGCTCAGAATGAAATATGGTCCCAACACCATGTCCAACAAAACGTTCCACCACGCCATACCCAAACCTTTCTGCGTGTTCACTGAAACATAACCCCGAATAACTTTAGAAACAATCAATATCATGTATCAAACCATAAACCATTGTATTTGTATGCAAATTGCACGGGATTAACAGATCTTTGGAAATAGTATTTCTCTATATTTTAGTGGTTTATATATACAAAATACAAAGGAGATTGAATTACAAAGTGCCGGTAGAAGTGCTAGAGGAAAGATAATGTTCACAAGATAAAAACACCTGATTTTCTTCCCAATTTTCCTAAACAGGGCACCATCTTGACAAGCATCAATTCCTCTATACATGCACTCCTCAGTCACCTGCCATAAGAGATTTCAAGATTATAGAGATCATAAATCTATGAGATTTGCTAAGTGTTTATGGTGTAGAAGATGGAAGATAGAGAAAGCTTCATTCATGTATGTTGAATCTAGAAACGTGTATTTACAATAGAAAACTTGCGTAAGGAAGAAAAAAGAAACAGAATGGTTATTCAATGGCTAATTTTTAGAGACAATGTCAATAGCGTGTGACTGAAACAGCAAGCTTTCAAGTTTCAACAAATATCAATGGCTAAAGCTCAACTCTGGATCATGTTTTCTGGCTGGCATGAGTTTCTAATTAAGGAAATTACTATAAGCTATCTCTTTAGTTAGCAAAAAGATATACCTTCACAAGTCGTTTCATGGACTCACTGACATTGCCACAAAAGAAGGTTTTTGATGTGTCTCCATGATAACCCTGACAAATAGACCAAACACCGTGAACTTTGTAACAAGAGGTTTATTGGAAACACACAAGGAATCAATAAAACACAATATGTATAATCACAACTTACATTCAAGTATACTGTCACGTCAATGTTTATTATGTCACCATCCTGCATTATCAGTATTTTTCCTTTTCAGTGATCAGAAGTAAATTGAGTTGGCAAAAGTGGAAATGGAAAATCACCTACCCGTAGCTGGCGAGAGTCAGGTATTCCATGGCACATACACTCATTGACTGATGTACACACACTTTTAGGAAAACCCCCATAGCCCAGAGGTGAAGGGTAAGCACCAGCATCAATAATCATTTGGTGTACGGCTTTATCTATTTCATTTGTCGTTACTGATGGCTGATAATAAACATGAGAGTTTGTAAGCAACATGGCATACTAAAGGTTTTAAGTAATAAATCAAGAAATGAGTGATTTATCCAGGGTTTTAATGAGTGTGATATGTTTCCTGTTATCACAAACATAAGCATTTGGCAATGAATTCCATTCCCCCACACAATAAGTTACAGAAAAATTGAATTTTCCACAAAGAATGAAAAAGGCCAGATGAATGTTTGTAACAAGAAAAGGGCCATACTCTCTTTCAATAAAAATTTAGAATTAGTTTGATACTTGATTTCTCATATTCTATAGTTAGTAGAAATAAAGTAGTCTGAAAATAATCAATATTGAAAATTAAGTAATGGGTGTCAAATATCTTACCCTAACCAATGTTCCTGCATACTCTAGCACCCGGGCAGCAAGCTCACCTGCTGCTCTCATATGAGCAATTCCTTCAGCATCATGAATTTGATGTTCACT